GAGAGAGAGAGAGAGAGAGAGAGAGAGAGAGAGAGAGAGAGAGAGAGAGAGAGAGAGGGAGGAAAAAATACACGCGCGCGGAACGGACAATTAGCTGCGTCGTGAGGGCGATCCTTTAGTGATTACCGTCTTAATTTGATTATGACTTCCGATAATCCGGTCAATTAATGCGGGATTAAATAATCATTCTCAGTTATTAACAAGAAGAAGGAAGGTATCTCGAAGCAATGCGACTGTAATTATGCGCCAGGGATAAACGCGAACAGGCTATTTCTTTTCCATTATTTGATACAAGGAGCCGACCAGAAATTGATCCCATGGCCCTGATAAGGCTGATCTCAATCAGTTGCCTATTTCGTAAAAGGTGACGTAATTGGATCCTAATTATTAATCATTTTTATTATTAACAAGGTTCTAATTGCCATGCTGCGTTATATTCTCTACAGGACGCGATGATATCACTCTATGAGTATTAATAACTCTATATTAATAATTGTTATTTGAAACCTGCCTCGGTTGAGATGTTCAGATTCGAATTTAGGCTTGTATTAATAGTAATTAGTTGAAACTTGCATCAAATTTTCAGCCCCGTATTAATAATTGTTACCTAGAACTTGTATTATGTAAAATAATTTCAGATTTTTCTCGAAGTTAAATCTAAGACTTTTCATTAAATTATGATATATGTGATTTATGTCTATAATCGTGCGATTCAACTGAAGAATTCTTATATAATTTTGAATTCAAATCTGAGTACCTCACTTGAGACGAGTGATAACTATTAATACGAGCTGCTAAGTTCAATTTAGAGTTAGGTGTGATTTTTTTGTTAGATCGTGATTGCTAGTATAATGTTGCATGTGTCATACGACATTTAATTGAAAAACTTAAGTCTGTTTTTGAATACAAATTTGAGTATCTCACGTGAGACAAGTTTTAAGTGATGACTATTAATACAGACCTTAGAGTTAGATGTAAGTTTTTCAGCCGAATTGCACTTACAGATATAACGTCGCATATATTATACGATTCAAGTAAGAAATTTAAATCTAACTCTAAATTCAGATCTCTGACCATTTCACGTGGAGCAAGTTTCAAATAACATTTATTAATATTGGTTTTAAGATGATACTATCGATGATAAGTCATGTAAAATAGCGTAGCTATTAGGACTTTATCAATAATAAAGATTATTAATAATTAAAATCTTATTAATAATTAAAACCCGATAACATTACGTTATACAAACCAGATAATGCATTGAAGTCATCATTTACGTCTATAGGATAAATTTCTAATCCGGTCTTTGTACCTAACAATGTATAAGTAAATAAAAAGACAAATGTAAGTCTAAATTCACATCTAACTGTCTCACGTGGGACAATTTCAAGTAATGACTATTAATACAAGTCACGAGCCAGATAACTGATTGGAATCAACCTGATCAGGGCAATAGAGTAAATTTCTAGTCGGATCTAATAATAGATTTGTGCAAAATAAACTCAAATCTAACTCTAAATTCAGATCTGACTGTCTTATGTGAGACAAGTTTCAAGTAATGACTATTAATACAAGTCACGAGTCAGATAACTGATTGGAATCAACCTGATCAGGACAACAGGGTAAATTTCTAATCGGATTCAACAATAGATTCATTTGTGTAAAATGAACTTACATTTAACTCTAAATTCAGATCTGATTGTCTCATTTAGGATAAGTAACGACTATTAACCCTTCAGGATGAGAGATATCTTTTGATGTTCTACGGCCTTCATGCGTGTATTTTAGAAACCATCGATCTAATATTCACAAGAATTGGTACATAGAGGTTTTTTGGGGTGCTCTTTCCAGATTTGGAGTAAGAAATGTAAAATTTAAAATAACGGATCAAATATGGCGATTTTCAAGATGCCAAATATGTAAATATGACTCAATTTCCGTGGAACTTCATACTCTTTAAATTTGAATTACTGAAAATCTTGACTGATTTCCAGTTTCGCTCTTCTTGGAGCTCATCAGTACTACACAAATTTTAGTTAGTAGGTCGGGTCAGATTTAAAATTCTTTTTCTTGGTTGGCATTTTAAATTTCAAATATTCGATTTCAGTTCTCAAAAAAAATGATTAAAAGTTTCATAGTTTAAATTTCACGGAAATTGAGTGAATTGAGTGATATTTATATTATTTATCATTTAATTGAATTGAGTGATATTTATATTATTTATCATTTTTTCCGCCATTTTGGATTTTAAAAATCTAAGTTCAGATTCGGATTCAACGATCCCAAAAATCCATAGAATACGTACTTCCCTATAATTATGTCCCTGAGCAACCCCCGTTCTGAAAGGGTTAATACAAGTCATGAACCAGATAACTGATTAGAATCAGCCTAATCAAGACAATAGGTTAAATTTCTAGTCCTTGTATCCAATACAATGGATGAATACAGTGAAAAAAAGGAAAAGTCAAATCTAACTCTAAATTCAGATATGAGTATCTCACACAGGACAAGTTTCAAGTAACGACTATTGATACGGGCTACAAACCATATAACTGATTGGAATCATTCTGATTAGGACCATAAGATAAATTTTTTAGTCAGCAAGAATCGCGTGGTACTTGTAATCTTTGATGTACGACGAAGCAAAGTTCGCCATCGATGTTACACACCGATACGAGGGGATACACGATGAAGACATCAAAGGAATCCACCGAATTCTGACGGAATAAAAGCAAGCCGTAGACATTTCGGCGCTATTATGTGCGCCACTAAAGTCCAAATAAAATCATCAAGGCCTATAAAACTAAAACGCGAATAAAGATCTGTCGTAAAGTTCATTCATACCGGGTGTTCATTCACTGAAGCCTCGCTACACGGTGGTCCGGTAATTCGGTATAGATTCCCGCGATTTTTATAGCTCCGTAATTAAAACCGAATGAAACAAATAAAAATTTTAACCTCGTTAATTATTTTCCACGTAGACATAAGCATTATGCGGTATATACAGCCTGCATTGGCTTATTATTATCGATTTACGCGATTATGAATAAAACCATCGGGTAACGAACGTTCGAGTGAAGTCAAGAGACATCTCGGCAACTTTTTCCATCAAATTTATCTAATTCGATGGAAAATAATATCGCACATCTCTCTCGAGAGGTTTCGACGCCGGATCGTCGAAATTCGCGCACAATTGCAGAAATTGTAAATACTTCCGCGCGACCGGCGGCAACGCGCGCCGAGCGCTCAACTTTATATGAAATTCCTCGTGCTCGCAAATGCACGCAGCTAACGAACGGCAGTTTTGGATAAGCCGTCTCGTCGTTGCCAACTTTTTACATTCGCTCGTATCTCTCGCAAACAGTGAGACATCTCCGTCGTCGTGTAGGCGGGCAGAAATTTTTTTATGGACGCTCCTCTCTTCTCGCTCGCATAACGACGCATCTTCTGCGTCGCGCGCACGAGTCTACCTGGCTAAACTAGTTTACCTCATTACGTAAGCATCTTCGACAATGCACAACGACGCGCGATACCGTCGCGATCAGGCACACGGTCCGAGAAGTGTGGATGTCAGAGCCTGACATGGTCTGACACGAACACCCTTCGCGACGTACACGCACATACGCGGAATCACACACGCGCGCGCGCACACACACACACACACACACACACACACACACACACATACATACACACGTACACGCATGTACATGCGTATAAACGTACGTTTGTGTGTGTGTGTGGAGGATCGAGACATGTGTTTGCTCGCCTAGAAGCCGGAGTACGGTGACGATTCTCGCACCTCCTCGCTAAGTGGTCCGTACGCCCCTCGGCCAGCTTCTGCTCCTATACAAATTTAAACTACGTAGAGCGGTCGCGTGGGGGGGCGGGAGACGTGTGTGGAGCACGAGGAAGTCCGGCGAAAAAAAAGTGAGGAGAGAGAGAGGGAGAGAGAGAGAGAGAGAGAGAGAGAGAGAGAAAGAGAGAGAATTGGAAGAAAACTGAAGCGGCTCGTATATTCTTTCTTTTTTCCCGTTTCTTATCCTCCTTGCTGCCTGGCGCTCGCAGGAGCGAAGGATACGTCGGACCTGAAGCGGTACGAGAAAGAGCATGGCGTGCTGGGGGTGAATTTGGGCTCCAGTCTGTCTGGTGGTGGTGCTCTCACACTTCACCAGGAATTGATCATGACTATGCCCGGCGCAGGTAAGCTCATGTTTGAGATACGTCCGGTTTCGTTAGACGACGAATCAATCGCACGCGCGCTAAAGCGAGAGAGAGAGGAAGGAAACGGCTGGTGCAATCGCGAACTTTAACTCCCGATCTGTGCACTCGGAGAAATGGACGTGGTGGTGACAACTATACGAGTTCTGTATGCAGGATTAATGTATACACGCCGAGGAAAAGTACTTTTTGAAAATTCATTTGTGATGTATAAAGTTTACTTCACTGTGAATAAATTTTATATCATACACAAATAAATTTTCAAGTATCTTCCTTCAGCGTATAGTTTAATAAATTATTTTGTAGCCGCTGCAACTAAAACTAGCTAATTATGAGAACTGCACTGAGAAAAAATACTTACAAATTTAGCTGTGAGTCATAAAATTTATTTCTGCGAAATTGAAGTTTATTTCTGTGAATAAATTTTATATTCTACTAATAAATTTTCTCTTTTCCAGTGTACACATCGTCGTTATATCATTTATTCTATGTACATTAATTCAATAAAGTTTATTAAACTATATACGTTAATTCTACATATAAAATTCGTACAGTTGTTATCTATGTAGTTGCCACTACCACGTTTTTTCTCTAAGTGACTTTCACTGTCCAGTGTCTGCTATATTTATTCTCGAAATGTCCTCGCAACGGAAAAGTGTGACTCGCGAGGTTACAAGGGGCAAGTGAGCAAAAGCAGAGGTGTCGATGACAAAGAAGTTTGAATGTCAATTGTTTCGTTTCGCTCGCGCCTCTTATTTGCATTTATGCTATTGAAGTAGTGCTGCAAAATTGGCTATAAATGAAATGAAATAAATAACTACGCGCAAATTTATACCTACACACACACATATATATATATATATATATGTGTGTGTGTGTGGAATTATATCTTCATTAAGTGAACGGGGGTGATGATAGTGAGCGAGGAAATAAGTCGCATCGATCTTCTCTGAATCCTTTGTGAGTAGTCGTAACAAGCACGCGAGGTATTCTCAGAATGGATTGCACGATATTTGCATCGCGAGTTAGAAGGCCAGGAACCATTTTCCTGAAAATGTTCGTAGACGCGGCGCGCATTTTTTTCGAGACCGTTTCGAGGGACACTGGGCGTTTTGCGTTTCGTAGCGCACATTGAGAAATACATCAAGTTTTTCTCAATAGCATTTCACCCGAATTATCTGAGTATCCCGATAGACAAGATAGATTTGACAGCAACTTTCCTAAAAAAAGAACCTTCATGGTTATCACAAGCCAGACAGACTTTTATAATTATCACAACATGGGATAATCGATGATGGGAAATTTACACTTTTTTAAATTACATTTATGAAGTAAATATACTGTATTTAATTAATTATCAAATTTCATCATACATCATACATTATCAACATCATACATTAATGTAATTTTTCTGTTGTATTGATGTAACTGCAAACTTCTTAAAAGTTATATTGAGATTTTCATATTACATTTTGCACGACATAATGTTTTAAAAAGTTTTTGATAATTCCTTTCGTATTTCATTCGTATTTCTATTTTGCCATTCTGTATGATAAATATAAATGCAACTCAACCAGTGTCATAAAAGAAATTGAATGTTGTTGGATTTCGTAATTTAATATATTTAAAATTGCTGAAAAGGTTATATATATCATTTTATCGGGGAAAGTGAAATAATCGAGATAATTCGATCTCGATGAGAACTCTACAATTTTCTCAATTAGATTTATAAGCCAGATAGTTCAGTAAATTTGTAGCTATATCAACGTAGAAAAGAATTTATGTTATTGTGCGATGTAAATTAATTCAATACAGTATATATTTGTATTATTGACACAATTAAAAAAGTTTCCATTATCATCGATTGATCTTATTTCGACTGTTCATCGATTGTCTCACGTCGTGATAATTATAAAAGTTTATCTAGGTACTGTCTCCGGACTAAGGGTCGTGATACACAAAAAATGTAAGCAATAAGACGTGAGCACTGAGCGAATCAACCAATCACGGTCGACGATTCTTCTTACGGTCCAAGAGTCAACGACTGTGATTGGTCAAGTTGCTTAATGCTTAACGTTTTACTGCTAAATCCTTTAAATATCACTGGTACCAATAGGGACTACTTAGGATCGGACAGTTGAAACCTTATAAATGTGTTATTTAGAGTGTTTTTGACAAAATTTCATTAAAAAAGAGATACTAGAATGTTCCATGAATTATGCGCCTTAAAGGGTTAAGTCTTTCTATGTGCCACGACCCTAATTCCTACAACGCATATGTAACTGTAACCGTAGTAACTGAATTGCACATTGAATAGTTGCTCAAAACTATTGTTACTTCTTGGAACAAAAGAAAAATATAATGCTTTTCGCAATAATAATAACGTAGCAATATATATATGTAAATTTAACTGTGACTTCATTAATTGATTTGTAAAGATTACATCTTCCTTATAAATGGTTCATATAGCACTCATATTTATCACATAGAATGACGAGATTAAAATACGAGAAGGAATGATCAAATTTTATTCCAATGTACCATGTAAAATGCAATATGAAAACCTGAGTGCAACTTTTTGTAAATTTGTTGCTGTATAAATGTAACAAAAATTACATTGTTGTATGATACCTTTACAATACGAACGAATTTTTGGACATTTATAGTCTTTGAGTTAGAACTTTGATACATGTTAAAAGATAGATTGGTAAAAAATATAATACTCCTGTTATGCTACTATAATGGCTTTCTAACTTGTAAGGATGATTCAATATTTGCTTCAAAATTTGCTTTAGAGTTTGCATTATCGATTGTTTCGTGTCGTGTTAGTCAGAGAAGTTCGTCTGGGCAACGCGATGACAATAACAATCGTTTCTTTCTCCGACGAACTCTTTTGAATTGTAGTTAAAGAAAACGTATGTCATTCTAGGTGACAAATATAAATTTGATCAGTCATAAAGGACTCAATGTTGCTGGATTTCATGATTTAATATATTTAAAGTTGCTGGAAAATTTATGTATACATCAGTTTACCGGGGGTAAACAATCGATGAAGGGAGCTCTACAATTTTTTCAATTACATTTATGAGCCAGATGCACTGTATTAAATTAATTATTAGATTTACATCATACAGTAGTAGTAGATTTTTTGTTACATTGATGCAGCTACAAATTTATTAAAAGTTGCAATCAGATTTTCATGGTACTGATAAGATCTGCTACGACCTTATTTCAATTGTGTTATCCGACCGCTGTGCGTTGCAGGGAGCGCGTCGGCGATCGGGCAAGGCGATGATAAACCAACGAAGCAGAAGCGACATCGGACGCGATTCACACCGGCCCAGCTCAACGAGTTGGAAAGGTGTTTCGGCAAAACTCACTATCCGGACATCTTCCTGAGAGAGGAAATCGCTCTAAGGATCGGCCTCACGGAAAGTCGCGTTCAGGTAGGTGTGGTCGGAATTACATAGCCGCCTCTGTGTGTCCCCCCTGGCCACGTTGCTCACCCGTCGGCACGAAATGATTAATCCAGCATGCGGCAGAGCTTATCGCGTGACCGCGCGCGCGTTTACCGTCGTGTGTCAGAAATTACGCGAATTTATACAGGGTGTCCCAGACTCTTCTCTGTAATTTTTATGGGAACGTAGAACGGATTGAGGTGAACATAAAAGTCCTATGCCGTTTTGCGATACTTGCAATAATAGTCGAGATATTAATTGAAGAAGATTGAATGATTACGCGCGATATGGTAGATAAATTGTAAGAGTTTGCTTCAAAATTTGCTTTAGAGTTTCCATTATCGATTGTCTCGTGTCGTGTTAGTAGAAAAGTTCGTCCGGGCAACGCGATGACAATAATAATCGTGTCTCTCTCGGACGAACGATTCTTTTAAATCGTAGTTGAAGAAAACGTATGTCGTTCTATGTGATAAATATAAAACTGTTCAGTCATAAGAGACTCAATGTTGCTGGATTTCATGATTTAATATACTTAAAGTTGCCGGAAAATTTATGTATACATCAGTTTACCAGGGGCGCCGTCTACCGTTGTATATTTATATATTAGGTCAAACTGAACAAAAAAGTCTTCTATCATTTTACAAATGACCACATAGATTTTTAGATATTAATTAAAGAAGATTTGTGCATTATCGTACATAATCATATAACAATTTTCTTTTATTAATAACTAAAAATTTACACAGTTATTTGCAAAATGATAAGGGCTTTTTTGTTCAATTCGAATGCCTAATATAATGTAACAAACACATAACAGTATCATTACAGTTCATCTGCCATATCGCGCGTGATTCAATCTTCTTCAATTAATATCTCGAGATTTATTGGGTATTTTGCGAAAACAATATGGGACTTTTATGTTCACCTCAATCCTTCTATGTTTCCATAAAAATTGCGGAGAAGAATGTGGAACATCCTGTATACGCAGACGTGTTATATACATATAAACGGAGCGGTAATCTGGCCGCGTGACGTCGCATGCGTCCTCACAGCGTTTTCTTCCGAATCGCGGAAGAAGACAACACGTGATTCGAGTTTCTTGCAAACCGGGAGCGGGAGATTTAATTATTCTTTTTTCTTAGAAAGCTGTACGATTTTTCACCGTTTATGACGCACGCGCGCTCACCACAGTATTTGATTTACTTGTGCCAACGTCTCGATCATTTATTGCATCATTACGTTGCGACGATCTGTTACGCAATGTGGATTTCAATATTACGGGATTTGTGAGAGTGAAGAGAACTCTCGACCCGGACACGATGAGTACATTGAGAAAAAAACGGTTGGATTGACAAAATTGGCGGTTACCGGCCATTAAAGAAACATTCGATCAATTCAACAAAGTACAATGTTAATGCAACAATAAGTTGCATTGATATAATGATTTCAACGCAACTTATTGTTGCATTAACATTGTATTTTGTTGAATTGATGCAATGTTTCTTTAATGGCCGGTGACCACCGATTTTGTCAATTCAACCTCTTCTTTTCTCAGTGTAAATACAACAATAAGTTGCACAACATCGCGTGATATAATGGAAACGCGGCAGTTTTTACACGAAACAAATTTTGTAGCAGAAATTATTTCAGAATATTTTAACTGAGAAATGAGTTATTTTATCTCATATGTGCAATTTATATCTTAGGGACTGAAAATGCTATTAAAAAATGCTATTAAAAAATTCGTCAATTTCTAGCAAAATTTGCTGCGTTTCAAACGAAATTTACTATGTTCCTTAGCAAGATAGATCTTATTGTCAGTCTATTTTCTAGCTATTAAAAGCATTGCAAAATTTAAAAAAACTTAAATATGAAAAGAAGCTATAATATTTTCTCTCCATGTATTAATAATCATTGCCTAAATCTGATCTTAAATCTGGAAATATCCAGATTTGAATTTAAGTCTATGTTGACAATCACTTGAAACTTGTTTCAAGTAAGATTTGAATTTTGAGTTAAATGTGAAATTTTCGATTGAATCGCGATTATAAATATAACATTGCGTGTATTATACGATTTAACTGAGAAACTTAGATCTTATTCTGAATTTAAATAAATAAGTATATTACTTGAGATAAATTTGAAATTACAACTATTGATATTTACAAGGGACACTCACGAACTGTTACGTCTACTTTTTACAGACGTATTTTTGAGAAGTACTCGTCAAGACAAGGCCATTGATATATAACATTGTTGCGCGAAATGACCAAAAATCGGGGGGCCAAAATTCGATCCGATTTTTGGCTTACGTTTAGACGATAATGATACATATATCGTTGATTTTGTCTCAATAAATGCTTCTCAAAAACATATACATCTTCGAAATATGTCAACAGAGTAAAAAATTATATATTCATAAGCAGTCACTAGTTTAACTGTTGGCCAAACTTTGACCTTTGATTTTTTACCAATATTCTTATTCCACGCAGCAATGTTTAATATCGTTGAACTTGTCTCGAGGTGAGTAGTTTCTAAAAATATATACATATTTTTGTAAAATATATATAACACTTCATGAGTGTTCCTTGTTAGAGTTAAATGTGAATTTTTCAACGACTTTTTGCGATTACAAATATAATGTCGTATATATAATTTAAATGAAACACTTGGATTTAATTCTAAATTGAAATCTGAGTATCTCACTTGGAATAAGTTTCAAATACGCCTATGAATACGAATCTACGAGGCACGACACAATTTTTTTTATTATAAATAATAACGAGCTACATATATTGTAAAAGTATACATACAAAGGAATAGAAGAAGGAACAAAATTTGAAAAATTACAAAACAAATAAGATAACAGAGCGAAATAAGCTACAATGAACTTAAAGCTTTTAATACTTTACTTAAAAGATTCAAATTAAAAACTTTACAAGATTAATGTCTGAAAAGAGAGAGCTCGTTTTGATAATCGTCCTTTGTTTACATATCTACCTCAGAACTATGATCTGCACATTTCCTCGCTTTAATTCGAATGATTTTGCAGAACTTCGCCTTGCTTAGCAACTGCAGAATTTCAGTTTTAAAATATTTATTTTACACAGAAAAAAGATTGATTTAATTAACGTAATAATAAAACAGATACTCGCACAAAAGTCTTTGGGATTTTTTTAGGATCTAATCGGAACTTTAGTTCGATTTCTCAAAATAATACGTTAGAAGTGTAATGCTTCAAATATGTGATTTTAAGTGGGCAACGAAGTTTTCCCAAAACTCTTTTCTGAGTTGTATTGCAAAACCTTATTGAAGAGAACTTTACTGGAAGCCTACAGTTTATCTTATATATATATATATATTAGGACCTTAACTTAGTTTCCGCCCAAAAAATACTGAGAAAAAGCATTTATTGTAAAAAATTTATTTAAATTATTTCAATGAAAGTATTTTCCATCACTTTCTACAACTTTTTGCCATCTTTCTGGCAACTGGGCGATACCATCTCGATAAAACGATGTTTGTTTCGAAGCAATCCATTCGTCCACCCATTCTCGC